GTGTCATTTTGTGAGTCGCTTGAACTATGCTGACTAACAAATTGAAGGGAGGTTTCTCCTGTCTGGCACTGTGTATCTTGTTATATAGCCTTCAGCTATGCACATATACTTATATCGTCACTTTCTTAATGGGGCTCTGCCTGGCTAGTCTATTTAGAGTTGCATTCTCTTTCTGATACCCTTATTTTCCTTAGGAGACTTATTTTTTTCTCTATAGCACATTTCACTGTGTGGTATAATATTCTATTTTCAAATCTCCCCTTGCTAGAATATAAGCTCCATAAAAGCAAGGGTAGTGTTTAGTGCTAGGGCACTAGAGAGCAGGACTGATGCACTGTAGATGTACGTACAGTGAGTCATTTGTTAGTGAATCATTGACCAGCTTATTTTCCCCCAACACATGATGCTGTGTGGCTATTGTTAAATATATGGCTTTTCTTTGTTTGACAGATTTCCTTAGAGTTACCTAAATGTAGGACTACTAAGCAAGTACATTTCCATATCACAGATATTTAATAATGTCTTTTAAATTAACTTTTCTTAAAGGAAGAGAAAATATAGTTGCTACTTATAGATTTTATCAGGAGTGATTGAGTCTAAATTTTGCCTAAATTCTTTAGCTTTAACATCTTGGACAGACATTTTAATTTCATTGAGCTTAGGTTGTTAGAATTCTGTAAAACAGGACTGATACCTCCTTCAAAGAGGTTTTTTTTTTTTTCTCTTTTTTTTAAGTACTTAGCCCACAGTAACTATCTATAAATAATGATTCTCTTCCTTCATTCTGGCTCCCCACTAAATAGCTTTTCTCTTAAAACAGTGTTATCTTAGATAAGAGCAATCATTGTGTGCACAGATCTGCACAAACGCTTACTCAGCTCACATGTGTGTCTCAACTGGGACCTCCTTAGTTTTCATACTCCGATCTGTGCTTTTCTCATTAGCTTTAAATTTTTAATACTTACTGTAATTCTAACAGTTAGGCCAGGAATTGCACTAACCGCCTCTTTCCACTTGTTGGGTCTTGAATTTTTACGTGTACAAATTCAGATATCCTTTCCACACAGTCTGGGTTATATGTTATTGTTCATAATTGGATTTAACTATTCACCTATTATGAATGAGTTGATATTAATTTCAAAGACCATTCAAGTACTTTAATATTTTACAATATACGTGCCATTTTTGAGTCATTCATTCTTGAAAGTCTGCTTCTCCGTGTTTGACAACCTGAAGACCCACAAATCCCCTTTGTTTCCCTTTCGCTTTGCTTCCACCTACTTTTGACTCATTTCCCAAGCCCGTTTTCTTTCATTCTTTAGAGCCCTCAGGTAGAGCTTATGCTTTTTGTTTGGACTTTGGGGAAAGAAGGGGAGGAGGTAATGTGTTGTGCACAATTTTTGAACATGGAAAGTCTGACGGGGGCTTGTTCCGCAACATCAGAAGCAGAACTGCCTATCCAATGATGTTTTTCATTGAAATCTCCATTCACAAAGTCATAGATTCATATCCATTTGCACTATTAGTATAGCCAGATCTCATGACCATCTTACCCATTTAGGTACCTTGATAGTATTTTGCAAAGCAATACAATATCACAACCAGAATATTTGTACCAATATAATTTAGTGATTTTATTCATATTTCTCCATTTGCTTGTACAGTGTGTGTGTGGGGGGGGTTCTATACTGTTTTATCACCTGTATAGGTTTCATTGTCTACCATCACAGGCTTCCTAGTATCTTTAAAAAGGTAGGGAATGCTACTACTTGGAAAGGACTAGCAATGTCTGGCAATGTAACCACTGAAGATAATTCAATATTTTAAGATGATCAGAACTGTGACATACACCCTATAAATACCTTTAAATAATTTCCTTTTCCAGACTGTACACATTTTGAAGATAGCGATCCCTTCATATTTAATGCATACCTCTCACCAAGACACGTTTCCTGCTTCTTTCAGTTATGTGCAGGGATGTTTAGTTCATGTTTAAAGTACAAACACATGTTGTTCATATGAATTGAAAAATAGACATTTTCTCTGCTTTTAAACTAAGACCAGTATTTTTCAAAGCTTACATCCATATTATATTTTCTTTCAACTCTAGTCCATGAAAGTGCGTTATAGATGTTTGATCTTTAAAGGTGTTGTTGCTGCCTTTGATAAAAAAAGTAATTAGATGAGCACTTCCTGGTAGAGGTAAACATCAAAGCTTGCAAGTACATACTTCGTTCCACTATTGTATTTGTAAGTGCACTCACCTGTCACTGATCTCTGTTTCTCCCTTTCTCTTTTTGTCTCTCCTCCCTTCCTTCTCCCTTTGTGCTTCCTCTTTCCCACCCACCCCTGTGGAAGATAGTTTTGTGCGCTTACTTTTCTTAAGACTGTCATTACAAAGAACGACTTTTTTCTAATGGACCATGACAGAAAGTAATAAAATTTCAGTAACTGTGACATGAGTTTTATTTGGAATCTAATATGTTCTCTGAAAAAAAAATAAATGCTATGATTCACAAGTTCTTCAGAGAATAAACACAAGACTTCTATATTTTCCTATAACTAGGGATACCTATTAGGGATAAAAGAGTTATGTGCTTTCCTTCCTCTCTTGTTGAAGAGTTGAGATGAACTTTTCCTGCCTGTTTTATGTAGTTTTGTGTCTTGAAAATTGTTTGGTTCTCTGTGCTGGCTAAGATGAAACAATGCACAGGGGTTGCTGGAGCCAAGCCAAGAGCTCTTTGAGGCAATTCTGATGTCATAGGGAGAATGGGAGTGAAAAAAAATGGCCTCTGGTACCAGAAAGGTCAATCTCCTAACCTTCTAGTCCCAGATGACTTAGAGTAGATGTGATATTCAAAGGAATTAAAAACACACAGCCCTTTGGAAAATACAATAAGGTGTTTACCATTTTGCTTTAGCTAATTTGTTCACTCATCCATTCATGTATCAAATATGCCCTGAATGTCCTCAGTGTCCCATGCATATAAATCCTAGGATAGAGTAACTTCCTACAAAATTCAAGTGGTTTGATTTTTGTTTTACGCACTCACCATGAGCCATTCAAATTGTAAAGGACTTCGTGCTTTTCATTGAGTTAAATGCTCGTAAACTCATCTATCATTGTTCTTATACACCTACCTTCCCCCAAATCCTCAGAATTTTGGATTTATCTTGGCTAAATCAGTGTAGATAGCTAATTATTACATTGACCTTCAAGAAATGTCAACCTCTGCTTAGGGTATTCAAAGAAGAAGTGATCAGCCTTTGTATTTGATTAGCAGGCTGTTACAAGGATGGTGACAGAATCCCAAATAGATTTGGATATAGTATGTCAGTAGTTGTGGAAATGGGGAAAATGAGGTGGGCTGGGGAAGAACGAAGTGGGGAAGAGTAGCAGGAAATTGTGGAAGAATGGATTTGGGGCTTTTTAACAACTGGTTTTGCCTTTCTAGTGTATTTTCACAGTACTTGTATCTTTTCACACCCTTCACTAAACCTTTGCTGAGGATACAAAGGTCAGCCAGTAGGAAACTTGGTTAAAGAAGCAAAATCTGGATTTGGTTTTGGTTATTGCCCATTCAGTGACATATCTTTCTCCACTGGCACTTCAACCATTGCTCACGATCACTGTGAAGACCCAGAATTATTAGCAGAAGGAGGCTGGGACATCGTTGGTGCGTCTCAAAAAGGTCGGCTCTAGAAAAAGTTGAGAAAGCAAAGGTTTGAGGAACAGTCCAGTTTCTAAAAGGTTTACAGATTGGGAAAAATGATTATCCTTTCTTCCACCTTTTCCACAGAGACCCCAAGGTAGCAGGTATTATATTGTGTGGTCTGTGTACATCTGTACTAGATTAGGCTTGAAAATGTACAGTGTTCTCATTTTCCTGTTTGAGTAAATTTCTTCACTTTTACTTGAAATTGAACCCAGTTGGACATTATGTGGTGCTATTTATGTCAACCCCATTAGTTCCATTAAAAAAAATTCCTTGCCTCCTGTTGATTTTAATTAAAGAAGCCTCGTCTAAGGTTGATTCACGTTCTGTTTTATGCATTTATTGTTACTGACTTTGCCTTTAGCCACCATTGAATTAACTTAATAATTTTTCATATGATATTGAATTGGTAGAAAGATATTCAGTGTCCCCACTGAAAATGATTATGGAAACTTTCTTGAGTCATCTAAGACGTCTTGGAGGTGTCTGTACTATTCTATGCAGTTTTAGTAGACCTGCTGCCATCCCTTGGGCCTGTGCATTCCACCTCTCTTCAGAGTCTCATTCATGTGTCAGACATGGGAAATGAGGCTCAGCCATCTCATTCTTCTTGACTAGGCATTTGCTTAGGATAAAAACAATTCCACTCATGCTTGTACGCACTTCAGGCTTTTAGCCTGTCTGAGGCGGCCTACATTTGACATTCTTCATTGCTCCTTGTGAGAAAGAGGCAAAACAAACAAACAAACAAACCACAAAGCAGAAGCTTTATAAAGCTACAAAGGATTGGGGTTGAATATAATAACACACTTAGATTATGGAAACAAAAATGGCCAAGTTTATGACCAGAGTGAGCAAAAGCATATACTGTCTCATGTGTATTCAGGTGTTTAGTAAACACATTTATATAATAACATACCTATGTGTGTTAGTAAGTCTATAAATTATGCCATTTTTTTATAGATTTCATTTGTACCATTGCATTTTCACCCAGTACTCCTTTTTTTCTTTTCTTTTTTATGGTGTAGAAGATCTTATTTGTTGAGTCTCAGTAGAGTTTAAATGTTCCTAAAGGATTTCTTTTTTAATGTGACTGCTGGTGGCTTTGAGGAAGAAAAACAGTGAGATCTGCTGTGTGAATGTTGCCACTCTACACCCATAGAATCCTATAAGCATCTCATTAGGATAACTGAACAATGTGTAGCTAATGGTATTAAGAACAGCTATTTTTAAAAAAAAAGTATAATTTCTTATTTTCTTCTTTTTCTTTTTTTAAACCATTAGATTTGTGGCTAAACCTTGTGCCATAGCCCTCAACATCCAGGCCAATGGACCACAAATTGCCCAGCCAAATGCCATTCTGGAAAAGGTCTTCACTGCGATCACAAAGGTATGAATGTCTTGTCTTAGGAATCAGATATTTGCCTTAATCTGCAGTCAGTCTGTCTCTTCTCTCCTGGGCTTTAAGAATCCTTTCTTATTTTGCCTCCTGTTAGACGATGGGTCCTCAGAGAGAACACAGGGGATATGATTGGATCCAAAGAGTAAATAGTTAATAAAGGAAGAGGTATTTGTGACCTCTTGGTTGGCTTTAGTTGATTTTACAAGCTTGTCTGTGAAAGTCTTGATTAGATCGTGGTTAGTCCAGTCTAGTTCCTCTCTTGGTCTCAGGTGGCATGCAGCATACAGATAAGGACTTGGTGGAAGCAATCAAGCAGAGCTTACAGAGTGATTTGTGTGTGTGTGTGTGTGTGTGTGTGTGTGTGTATGTGTGTGTGTGTGTGTGTGTGTGAGAGAGAGAGAGAGAGAGAGAGAGACAGAGAAAGAGACAGAGACAGAGAGACAGATAGAGAGAGAGAGACAGAGAGAAGGGGGAGAACCTGTTGCTAATAGTGCCAGGTACACTTTCTAGGACTTGTGATAGACAAAATGTGAACAACATTTAAAAGCCATATTTGAAGAAGAGTTGTTGCAATGTGACAAAATGAAGGGCATGAGTCAGCAGAGTCAGAGGTGAAGAGACAAATTCAGTGATGAATAAAGAGATACATACTCAGTATTAGGGAGTTAACTAAAGTCCAAACTAGGCAGGGGATAAAGAGAACAGAGGGAGAGAGGAGGAGAGACTGAATTTTGATAGATCTTTAAGGAACAAAGAGGAAGAAGAAACATCAGAAACCTTCCATCTAAATCCATAACGGAGTGAAACAACCCCAGAGCCCATGTAGCTTGCCCTTACTCTCTGAGATCCCAGTGTGTCTTGGCTTGTTCTTGGCTGGATTAGAAAGCGAAAAAGAACAGGAGGAATGTTAAATTTTGTGACAAATATGGCACGTTGATGTATCAAATGGTTCACTTTCTTCTTTCATTTTTTCTGGAGGAATTACACATGTTTCTAAGATGTAATTTGACAATGTTAAGCCAATTCTGTTTCTTTTGGTATTTGCGGTTCTATCCATTTATACAACTTGTCTCTTGTCTTGAAACTATTAATTAATTCAAGTATCCAGACATTTTTTTTGTGGTCTTCATTTCTTCCAAAAATTCTACAGGAGTTTCCTCTGTATCCTCTTAAAAATGATATTTTTTCCCTGGGAAAATGTGAGAAAGGACCAGGTGTTTTTAATACCTCTGCAGGGAAGAAAAGAAAAATAAACGGAATTTTAGGGACAGCTCTTTTGCCTGGGATCACTTTAGATTGTTAAGTTCCAGCCTGATGGGGCACATATCTTATGATATTTAATGAAAGAAAATATTTTTTGAAAACTCAAATTCTCATGTAGCCTATCAGTTTACTAAAATAAAAATCTGTCTCCTTTTATAAAAGCAGATATGACAGAAACTATCAGTCTCTCTCTTTCTTCCAGTACCAAAGCTCAGATTCATAACATTACAAATGCTGGACAAGTTCTCTACCACCGAGGTGCATTCCCACCCCTGCCAAGGTGTTTTTCATTTGTCTGTAATATCTGTAGGCAAAGGGATAGTGATGAGATATCTGGTACCCAAGAACCTGGAAGCTCCCATTGCATGTACATACATGGCTCACCTACTGCTGTAAACTCCTTCATTCCAGCTGCTGTTGGATACACTGTGTCTTGGTAGTGAGGGTAAAGTTAAGGTAGGCCTCTCTCCTGAAGGGTCTGCCGACTACCCCATGGCAGACACATAACCCCCAAGGGCATTGCAGCCTCAGCTATAAGCTTGCAAGAGGCAAGAGGCTCACCCCAGCTGTTACCCGCAAGACACTTGATCACTTTGCAAGAAACCTCTCCAAGGAAAAAAGGCCACCTGACCTCTCCATGTTCCCCTTGCTTGAAGTCAGGTCCCTTCTTGGGGCCAAATGCAGTAGCTATCAGTTGATAGGTGACATAAGGGGAGGTAGGAGGATCCTAAGTGGCAAGAAATGGGGAAAGAGGCAAATAAATGCCTATCTTGGAGTGTGGTAAGCCTGTGTATCAGCCCAGACTCTTAATTATCTACAAAATGTTCCATTGCCCTATTGGACTTCACTTAAACAATCATAAATTGCATAAAAAATATGTAGAATTTCAAGATGCCAGCCAGAGGTCATTAAACGCCTGTCTGAACGTGGAGCCCTGCCCGTTTTCTCCCATTTGGTAGCTCTCCCCAGGGATGTTAGCAGATGACTTTAAAATTTTAACATTCTAGGCGGGGCGTGGCGGTGCACACCTTTAATCCCAGCACTCGGGAAGCAGAGGCAGGTGGATCTCTGTGAGTTCAAGGCCAGCCTGTGGTCTACATAGTGAGTTCCAGGACAGCTGGGGCTGCAGGGAGGCCCCGGCTCCAAAAAACCAAAAAAAAAAAAAAAAGGATTTTTTTTTTAACATTCTTCAGCAGTTTCTCCTTTTTAAGAGTATTTTATTGATTATTTTTATTTTATATGTCTGAGTGCTTTGCCTCCATGTATGTAAGTGCATGCACTATGTGCATGCAATGCCCACAGAGGCCAAAAAAGGGCATTAGATCCCCTGGAACTAGAATCATAGACAGTTGTTAGCCCCGGTGTGGGTGCTGGGAACGGTGGAACCTGGGTCCTCTGCAAGAGTAGCCAGTGTTCTTAGCCACTGAACCATCTCTTCAGCCCAGAAGTTTCTTCTTTTGTGGTAACATCTGTCTGTTTTCTGTTTGTCCCTTTCCTCCTAACCTACAAGGAGAGAACCTATCACCATTATAAAATAATTAGGAGCCTTAGTGTTTGCTTGAATCAAACCTGGGTTTTTAAGTTCAAATAGTGTCTCTCTTACTGGAATTGGCCTGCAGAAAGTTTCTTAACCCTTGGAGGCCATAGAAGTCTCATTTGTAAAAGTATTTGAATAACATCTCCACAGGCTTTCACGAGGATTAAATAGAATAATGCACACACATCATTTAGTAAATGATGCGGCATCTATTTGGGCCAGTGCTTCCACATTTTAGTTGCATTGGGATCATAGGAGAAGTTAAAATTCAGGTTATTGTATTTCTAGAAATTCTGATTCTGTAGTCTTGGGATGGAGCCAGAGGATCCAGAATTGTGGGTTTGCAAGACCTATTCCAATCAACAAAATGATCATTTCTCTATAGTGAATATTTTTGAGTGCCTGTCTTTTGATCAATTTTATCCCATTCTCTCTCTCCTTCTCTCTCTCTCTCTCTCTCTCTCTTTCTCTCTCTCTCTCTGCATGTATAATTTCTCTTTTAAAATTTACATGTATGAATGTTTTGCCTGCATAACATGTAAGTGCACCACATGTGTACAGTGCCCATAGAGGGCAGAAGAGGGCATCAGATCCCTTGAAACTGGAGTTATGGGCCATTGTTAGTTGCCATGTAGAGGGATCCAAATCTGGGTCCTTGGTGAGATTAGCAAGTGCTCTTAGCTGCTGAGCTGTTTTTCCGGCCCTTTTAATGAGAATTTTCCTGTAATTTCCATGAAACCAAGTACCTCATTTTTCTAATCAAATTGATTCTAAAGCTGTGAGGGTAAGAATATATAGCAGCTATAAAGCCAAGTTTTATGGTGTTGCTTTAGCTTTTACTGAGGAGATGCAAACAAATACTTACTCATCTCAAATGGGCATCCACTGAAGACCAAAGCACTTTTTCACCAAAGTCCAACTTGGCGAGACTTATGAATTGTATTGGGCTCTCCTATAGAGCACTGTGAGAGACTACTTTACAAGAGTATCAGTGACCCCAAAACAGACTCATCACCTCACATCACTCCCCATAATGGTTGATTACCTCATGGAAACTGCATAATGGAGTCATAGTTTCAATTATCTTTTTAAAATTTTTTTAAATTTAATAACCACGTGATTAGAAGAAGCATTTCATTACAGCTTTAACATATTCAGTAACACATTCCAGAGCAAGGATACATCTCTTTCAAAAGTGGCTGTAAATTTTTAGGTTCACAGTTG